CATAAGAGTTCATTTTCAATAAAATTTTGTTTGTGAACCTATTAAAAAATTTATCGATAACATTTAAACTTATTTCGCCCAAAAACGTACATATCGACTTAAAAAAGAAAACTATTTAAAAACGACCGCCAACCACACCGTACTTACGTATCGACATGCCAAAGATGGCGATGACACTTTTGTAAAAATGTCAGCTGTCCACGCTTGACAGTTTGACACTGCCCCCGACATGCAATAACATTTCCGGCAGTTGGCGAATGAAATGCGATAATTAATAAGAAAAAATTTCGCAGTAAACTTCGCCAGGAGCCACACAGACAGCCACCTCAAATTGGTCAATAATTCATGAATATTAACTACTTAAATGTATGTTTATGCGATTCGTCTGTAGTCGTGCGCGACGCGAAAGCTATCAGTCGTGGTTGCGACAATATACGGAATGCGAGAATAAAAGGTAGTGACATTAAATTTAATTAGACATACATACTTTCGCAATATAAAATAATTAACAAAAAAGAAAAACAAAAACAACGTGAAACTGAAAATTCAAAAAAGTGCGTTGCTTGAAATATCAATATTTTTTCGAAAATGCATTAACTCTTAAAAGCTATTAAAGCGAGAGAAAGCGTTCGAAAGCGAACAAGAAATCAATGCAGTAAACGAGATGCATACATACTTATGTATATATGTAGCAATAATAGCATGCAAAAAATGAAACGCGCACAGTGGGGTGAGTTAGCATTGATATATGATTTTAAATTGCGGTCCATCAACATGCGAAAATTTACGCTTGTAATAGAAAAATATTAATCAACTAGTGATGTGTTAATATTATATAAGGTGTGCCGCAGTTTGTTAAAATTGAATAGCTTGGCTGGCAATACTGGTGGTATTTTACAACTTTCGAAAAGATGTTTTGTTCGCGATGGTTGAAAATGTTGCAGAACCATATTGGAGAGTCTACTTTATCTAGGTCGTGAAGTCATCGAAAACTTGTCCCATTCAAATCGTTCATCCACCTCTATGTTATTAGTGACGATAAAATCGAAAAGATAAAGAAATTTTGCTTCAAAATCATAGTTTTGGCATCAGGGAGATAGCATAGGATCTGAACCTCTCTAATGGATCGACATATGACGGTATTAAAAAAATATATGGTAAAAATTGTTAAAGAAAATATTTATAGAACTATAAAGTTTATCTACCATTTTCGATTGCAAGATACACGTGAAGATAAAGTGAAGTAAAATATTTTAAATTTCATCAGCAATTAAAAAAAAACGATTCAGTTATATTTTTTGTTTTTGATATTTTCACTGCCAACATGCTATCAATTGTACAAAGACTTTCGTTTTCGTCCCACTGTCGCTCTGTATGTATTGCCTACAGCGTTATTTCATTATGCGTATTTTGTTCGGTTTCCGAATCGTTTTTTGTGCCGTGGCTGCTTTATGGCTGCTCGTTCTGATGACAAAATTTATTAATGCCTCGAAGACGTATTGGCATAGTGCATGGTGCGCATTATGTCGCATTGATGCTGTTGCATTATACCGCTAATATAATGAGGTTTGTGTTTTTTTTTTTTTTCAGATGCTTGTAATAGCGTTCGCCAAAATTTCGGCGTGCGTTATTTTGGTGGGCAACCGTATGTTTGGCTGTGTGTAGGCAATTGTTTGTCGGAACGTCTGTCTGTCGGTATGCCGTCAATGTCCGAATATTGTCATTGCCTAAGTTTGGCGAGAGTTAATAAATCACAGCGCCGCTGACACATGTCGTAAATGCCAAAGTGAAAAATACAGGCGAGAGAAAAAAATAAAAGTGAACATAAATTTTGGTAAAATGCGTACATATTTATAGAAACACATACATATGTATACGAAATAAAAACAAATTGCTGGCACTTACCTGCCTCCGGTAGTGTGTTTGGGTTTTTTTTTTTAGAATTTTAGCAAAGCTTGCCAATCAATCAGGTGACAAACCGAAGCAAAGAGTATTTGCGGCGACACGTGATGGAAGGGGGGTTTAATTTTGAATATAAATTCAAAATACCATTGAAAATCAATTCAAACGTGTATGTGTTTGTGCATAAAAGTGTGCGCTTTGTAAAAAATAATTGGCGAAAATGTCAGGAGAGGTCAAAACGCACCAACACAGCCGCATTTGCATTTAGAAATTTCAATTTTTCAATTTCTCATTTTTTTTTTTTCAAATTTGCATTACGTTTGCTGTTGTTATTGCCTTCACGCTGTTGTACTAAATCACGAAAACGCTGTTCGGCCAGCACAAACAAGCGCACATCATTTGGCGACTCCTCACATGGCCGCGCCACACACCCCCCACGCATGCACACGACGACAGCGCAGCTCGATGCTTTTAAATCGCATTAAGTCATGCCGCTCGCTATAATTCGGCTACAATGTTTTGGAGTGTATGGCGGCAAGTAAGCAGTGGACCCACGGTAGCATCTTAGCGCTAAGCCTAACGTCCTGTTTTACTATTTCACATAATGGCATGCGCTCTAACTATTGTTGTTGTTGTGTTATCCACATTTGGCTTTTCGCTGTGTCGTGTTGACGCTAATGGTGTTGCTCGCCAAGTAAGCTGCCTTGTTGTTGGGCGTATTGTTGTTGTTGTTGTCGGCAACACCTTCATTAGCATATTTGGAAATTTGCATTAACACCTTCTGAATTATGTAACTACGTTGAATTTCTGAATGAAATTACCGAAAAGTGTACGAATGTACCGTAGACAAGTTGGTTGCTGCTACAAGTGCAAGACTGAGTGTGTGTGGGTGTGGGTTTTGTTTTAGTGCCACAGCCGGAAGAGCGGTCAATTGAGCATGTCTTCAATGTGGCAAGTGTCTCGTATCATGCCTTTGCGTTGCAGACACAATTGGCAAGTAGCGAGTGTCACATTTTAAAAACATAAATAAATATGTTGTAGGCGCAAAAATCGTTGCAAAAAGGGTGTTGCGCAAAAAAACCATAAAATAATCCGTTAAAAGTTAAGAGCTCACATTCAAATATTTTAATTCAAAATTTCAAGCTTTAAATTTGATAAATATTTTTTTTTTGTTACGATATTTGAGATATATGTACTTTCTATTAGATACTGTATCTCCTAAAACTTCAAAGATTGAGTATATACTACGTTGATGATTTTCATTGAGGCAACTTTGAGTCTCGGTATTTCCGGACAATATTTTGATGCTGTCTCGATTTTCTATAAAATACGACTCACGAAAAATTGTGCAATCGAGAAGTTTATTTATGTTTCTTTGCTAGAACAGTTTTTATAATCCAACCTAACGGTACTTAGACGCTGCATACTCACAGAGAATTGTCTACAGGTAAGGAAACTATCTCAAAGGTTTCGAAAATTGATATAGCATGTATAAGGGAAGACACAGGAGAGCAGAAGTAACAGTATGGGAAAAGAAAAACCGACTTCATCTTTGAGGAGATTTATGTTTTAACTCCTTGTGGAATATTTGACTTTGCTGTGTCCCCAAATGCTCATTCGACTTCAGTTTTTTTAGTCTTTTTGAAATGGATCAAAGGCAATCATTGCCTAGGGTAGTTAACGTTTTACAAAATTAGTAAATTAGTGCCAAAAGGAGGCGATTTTCTCTGCTTTTCCTTTAAAAAAGTACTCGGTGTCACAATTTCGCGCCATATAATAACATTGTAAAGGTAGATAGTAATGTCAAACTCTCATATTTTCACCATAAGTACTACATATTTCTCCTAAAGCTCATCAGCCGTATGGAAGCGACCTTTAATCTGTGGTTGTGTGGCTGCTGCTATTAGTAAGACAGTATTATACCAGAAATACGAAGAGAACTTCGAATAAAAATAAAAATTCTGATTAAGGGGTCTAAATAAAACGAAGTCAGAAATGCATGAGAAACCATTTGAAGTCTTTTTATTACAAGTAATAACGATTAACGGTATTAACAATTTCAACAAATAAAATTTAATAACACTGTTAAGTCGAAACATTGTCAAAAAGAACTATCTCAGCTATGGATAATTGGTGATTGAAATTTGTTGGTCTTTAAGTTTTGAGAATATTGTGGCAGCTTTGCGAAAATGGTCTCAAGCTTGATCCGCTCCGCTATTTTCAAGTCCATCTGTCAATCTAATAGGGGCGGAAAAATAAAGAAAACCATTTTAGTGAGTCTTATTTATTTACAATGATCCTAAAATGTGAGGAGTTTCCTCAGCTTAACCTGAAACCACAAGCCCCTTCCTCTAGAATATAACGGCAAATATGTCAGAGTCTGTCTACTACGAGTGGTGAAAATATTCTCAGACAACATTCCTAGCGGCCTTCCGTATGAAGACAAGCTTGCAAAAGTGCAACAATTATGCAATCATGTTGCAACAACCATATACACATACACACATATGCACTTGTGTATTAATACCTACATAATAAGCTAAAAGACAGCGAAGCAGCAAAGGTGAAGGCAATAACAACCGTGTCTACGACTACTGGCCATCGCGCTGGCCACGCTATGTCAGCGCACATACACATACATACATGCATATATGCATGTGTACATGTGGCACTCACAGCCGGTGTGAATTGTATATAGTTTGCTGCTCGGCGATGGTGCGCATTGTATATTGCAACATTTATTATGCAACATTGCGACAGAGGGCAACGCAACATTTTCGCTTGCAACTTTTGCTGCAGCCGTAAATTACAGCAGAAGCGAGGCGGCAACAAAGGAAGTGTAGTCTGTTACTGCAGTGTAGTGTGGTGTAAATTTGCGATTGCGATGGGCTGGCCGCATTGGTGTCGGCAGTGACGGCAGTGACGGCTGTACATTGTGCCACGCTGCCTGCTGGCTGCCGCCTGTTACCGCTTGCCCGTTATGGCCATAGCCATTGCTGTTGTCATCGTCATACTGAATTATTACATCGACACGAGATGTTGCACGCGCGATTTCGTGAGTGCATCTTATAATGCTATTAATTATTTGCATGTATCACCTTAAAATGTCAACGCTGTTGCTGGATGCCAGTTCGCTGGATGGTCGTGGCCCGTTCAATAGGATCTGCATACGGCCAAGATGCCGCTGGTGGGTTATCATTGACGGTATGGCTGTGCGTTTGCTTAACGCAGCGCCAGACGCACATATTAATGGCTGATATTTCGTGGTCTTCTGTTGCTCTAGTAGATATTGCTGTCGCTTGGCACCGGTTGCGTGCGCCTCTGGATTATGATAGAACATTCGCTGGGAATACTGCCGTTGTTGCGACAGTATGCTGCATTCGTACGGCGCATTTAGCGCAGACGGCGACCAAATGCGTCTGTTGCAGACACAACGTAAAGCAAACACACCTCGTACGGTGAATTTAACAAAATTTAATTTAGATAACATAACGATTATACCAAATAAGAAACGTTTTAAAAATTTTTATTAACAAAAGTTAACGTTTAATTTCGATAGCACGATTTATATTAATAAACTTTTGCACATTTGTATATTTATCTTCTGTGAAATTTTTAAGCTTTTCAATAGACAATTATTTGACATCATTTGATTTTTATATTTTTGAAAATTCATCACTTTCGCAAAAGTTTCTGATTGTATGATTACTTCAGTACAATTTTTGTGGCTGCAGTGGATATGCGTGGAATGAGTGTTTATCATGTTTAGGGCGCAATTTTTTGGATCACAAGCAGTCAGTATGAGGCCAGCATTGCTAGTTTTATCAATAAACTAATCATATTAGTGGTGCGCTACAGGTTTGGCTAGAGGGAAAAGTTGGACAAAATCGAACTTACAAAATAAGGTTGTGGAATGTGATGTATTCATAATTCGTGAGCAGAAATTTATAAATAACCATCCGCATATTCATGAGATTCCTTTCGAGTAGCTCTCTCAAGTAATTATTTTTGACCGTATGACCTGTGCAACTAGTTTTGCTCGAAGAAAGCTATAAAAAATACCTTAATTTAACCGAGATTGTCGTACTTTTTAGGGTGAGGGCAAAATTTAACTTATAGTAGGCCACTATGCAACACATATCTTTTTTTTATCTCCCCTCTCAATTTAATTGATCTCATCTTCATTTATGTAAAATATTTTTCATTGTTTTTCATTCAAACATATTGTTTTTGTCAGCAAATGTATTATTGTCATTATAATAAAAATATAAACTGAATATTTTACAAAAAAATTTATTGGATAAGTGTGGCCGCCATCAAGGTAGCAGTAGTTGTTGTACTTCTTTTTAATCCAATTTGCTGCCGCTGAAACTGCAAAGTCGATTAGCTGGCTAGAGAGGGCACCCTTACCCGAATTTTCTTCCTCTTGTGCGCTTGCCCTAGATCTATGGACCTTCCGTGAGCTATGCGGCGACGAGATCTTTCTGGCACAGGAAGGAACACTAGTTCTCTAAACCATTTGCTCTTAGCATGGTTCATCTCGTAAGGTAAGTGTTCTGACTAGGCACTGACCAATAGACTAAGATGCGGTAAAGCTGTATGGAGGAAGGCGAGGTGGAATCATCTAGGCACTTTCTTCTCAACTGTCCAGCTTATGCCAAACTGAGATTGAAACATTTCGGTAGACACACTTTCTTCGAACATGCCGAAATAACTGAGATCGATAGGTGTTTTTTCAATTGTAATTCCGTTTCTCAATATTAAGTATTTTAAAAATGGACGACACACTTCTTTTCTAGCCATTTAGATTATCGTCAATCTAAAGTTATAACTAAATGTCGTCTATACAAGAGACCTAACTTAATCCTAAGTGATTGGTACCCTTGTGATCCAAAGTTTTTTCTAATAATGGATGTCTAAACTAGAGATGACTCGACTGAGATGACGAATGTGTTCCTTATACTCAACTAAATCGTATTGATTATATGGTCGAATTTAGGTATTAAAAAAATATTATAAAAATCATAATATTGAAGGCCTTAAAAATTGAACTTGTGTTCAATCCCTACTATGTATATGTGAGTGGTGACCCAAACAGCACGATATTAGAGAAATGGTGTAAATAATAATGAGTGATTTTTTAGATGTGTGGTTTTCAATGAGGCAACATCTTTTTCGGAGTTGGTTTCTTTGACAGCTGTTACTCAATTTATACTTAGTTTGATTTGCCAGTTTATAATAAATGGATTTACTCCGCAACAACTTTTGCAATTCGTGCTAATTTATTGCCAAAATATTGGTTCGGATCGCGCGATGCATTGCGGGATGCATCCAATATTCTGTCGACATATTTATCTAGCAGTATCGGCAATTCGAGCAAGGTGTATCGGTTTTTCACCATATTTACTCTAGAAGAGAATGTGCATCCTCAGAGATGCCTTACTTTGCACCGAATGTTATGGATAAGAGTAGAAAGAGAACCCGAATGTGTTCATCTGCTATCACGCGCAATAACTGAAGCTGTGTACTTTTTATGGAAAATTTTTTAAAAGGATTTTAACTTTCGGGCTTCCAATATCCAACTCGTCCAAGAATTGAAGCCCAATGGGACCAAAACAAAGTGACCACCGATCCCAATTTTTACGAAAAAATTATGAAAATCGCAATAAAGAAGATTTTAACGAAATTGTGCCTCGCTTTAGCACTTAATGTCTGCATCCCTACTATTCCCATTTAAACAAACAATATTCACTTTCGACCAAACTTTACTTAATCTTAACCACTTTCTTCCCTCACATACGCCAATTTTTCACCGTGTTCGGAAGAAAAGCATTTACTCATTATGCACACGCGTGAACCTCGAAAATTGCATAATGTCTACACAAACACATATACGGCGGGCAAACGTGCACCCTGCTCATGCGAGCATTGCAACTTAGGTAGTGTCATCGCATGGTTTACAGACTCCGTGCAACATTGCACAATTTTCACGCCACAGTTTCACGCTTTTCTAATTGTGTGTTCTTGCTTTGCACAGGTACATATGTGCATATATCTTGGCACATGTTGTTGCCATTGCTGTCGGCGTTTTGGGATGATGCTTTACTTTTTTCATGGCTCGCTCGCTTGCTGGCTCGCCTTTGCCATAGGTGGTTAGATACCGTTGTGTTGCACTTGTAATGTTTTGCATGCGCTGAGGGTAAAAAAATGGGAATCGCCGCAAGAAAGGTGTGATCATGGCAACACTTCCTGTTGCCGACTGGTGCTAAATCGCCAACTTGCCACAGCGGCACATCCACACAGCTGTTGTCGACGTCGCCGCCGTTGTCGTAGTCGGAATCACCGCATTTGTTCATTTGTTTTGCGGTTTGTTAGTTGGTCGGTCGGTTGGTTGCTTGGTTGCTTGGTTTGTTAGACCAAAAATGGTTGCAACACGCGCAGTGATAATATTTAAGGAAGCGTTTTACATGTGCATTAAATTGCAACGTCGCAGTGTGCAACACACCAGCACATGGAAGCGCACATAGCAACTCATAAGAGCGCGCACATTATTTACAACTGCAGCAAACGACGACAACAACAACAACAACAACAAAATGACATTAAGCAGCAACTTTGCTCTTCTCAGCATAGTTTATCGCTGCCACAAATACACTTTTATGTGCATTTTGGTTGTTTTTGTTGTTTGTGTGCCGGCTGTTGTTGCATTGGTTAACTTGCTGATTATCCCTTTTTGCGCTTTTGTTCTGCTGCCGTGTTTGTCGTGTGAAAAACATGCATTTTCTAACTCCTCTCCGGCATTTCTCCATTTTCGGCTTGTTAGTTTTGTTGCACGTTTGGTTTTTGTGTGATTTTTTCCCCTCGCCATTTTGGGTTGAGTCCTTGCGCAAGTTGGCAATAAATTTTACATTATTGCTGATGTTGTTGTTGCTATGTTGATGTGTCTGCCGCTATTGTTGCAAGCACGTATATATGTATGTATGTTTGTTTGTTGCTGTTGTTTGGTTAATGCTCTTGTTGCGGCTGCTGTTCTTTCTCAACGCTTATCTGCTACATCGTGGCGTGAATTGCTTATGTTTTGTGGGCGAACGCTAAAAACGTCAACAACAGCAACAACAACAACAATGTGAAAAGTAAATACTGCACTTTTCGCATTTCCACTCCAGCGATTTGTGTCAACAGTAAACATTCGAGCATGATTAAAGTATTAGATTAACACCACTTTACGGGGCACATGTGGCAAGCATTAAATTAAAACATATATAGAGTAAAATAATAATGTCTTAGGAAATAGCTGTAAGCACATAATCAAAAATATACTTTAGTATTATATATATACATGTATAAGCAGAGTGGTGGCTTGGAGCATTTGGTACTTAGTTCCCAAAACTTCCCTTATTTTAAAGTTTTGAATTTGTTGACCAATGGAAACACTAGCTTAGCTTTAACTTGAAAAGGCCGTCTCACCACGTTCGCTTCATAGTTTCCTGCTATGATCCTGGATTGCAAAAGTATAGTCCACCAGAGATTGAAGAGGTACAAGAACATATTGTTATATGTAGAAGTAGTTTTTATTGTAAGGGATGGTGCTGATGGCAGCAAAATCCACCTCTCCATGATATCACCTATATTTTTCATATCTATGACTGGCTTTCTTAATTCTTTCTTTCATCTCGTTTACGTAAAACTTGTCAGAAAGATTGCTCTAAAATGTGGACTGCGGAGTAAGAGGCATACTCTAATGCTCTGTACATCTCTCTTTTTATTCGGCTACCAAACTCAGCCAGCATCTTCTAAGAGGAAGTATTAGGTATAGAGAAGACCTGTGGAGTTCTATTATATAAATACGGTAGGCTACAAATGGCAACCATATACAGGAATAGCCAGGCGGCATTGCTGGCCTCCTCGATGCCACAAATTATTTTCATGAGCTTTAAGCTCACTGGCAGGTCAACTTAACTTGTCCATAAATTGCGTTCCCGACCACAGGAATATTTTCTATCCCAGGTCAAGTTAATAGCGTGCCCGCTGGATACGTTAAAAAGAATGCTTCAATAACAAACTGCAAGATGCCATATATATTGCTAAGACTAGACTATAATCTTAGAAAAAATAGTACGGACCACTGCAGCATAAACACACTGACCGATCAAAACTTTGTACCTTTCGATTAAATCATATATGTTTGTAAGAGTTTGCAAGAGTTGGACTTTGTAAACCCGCAAACCAAGATGCTTCAGCAAAATCTTCCATAAAGGGAATGGGCATAATTGGAAGGTATATTAAAGGAATATCAGGATCTAATTCGGGTCCAGGGTCAGAATCATTAATATATCAGTTCTCACTATTCTCAGTGATCGCCTAGTTAAACTAAAAGCTTTTAAAGCATTGACTTAATAATATGAATTAAATTAGAAGCAAGTGCCGTCTTTACTATACGCCGTCTCTCGTAAGCTTTGCGCGAAATCGATACATATTTGCTCGAATTATCAACTCTGTTAGGCGATTGTGTTGATCGAATATTGGCGCGATGTGTCTCGCGAACCGAATCATTATTTTGCTAATAAATTTGCACGATTTACAAACGTTGTTCCGAAGCAAGACTGCTCATTATAAAATGTCAGACTAA